GAGATAGGACTCGAAAAAAGTTCACCATAGTAGTTGTGGTGCTGTGTTCCTATTAATCTTTCCTGTTTATGAAAACAAAACATATAAAACATATAGTTAATTAATTGCAATCAGCGATGATGCAAATTGCAGGTATTGAGCACCGCAATTTTAGTTCTAAGGATACGCAATATGTCCCAACATGTACCACATTTTTGTCCTTGTCTTTCTGTAGAAAAAAATTGTAATATGTTAATTATGATTTGTGCCAACACATTTCAGTTATTTGTCTTTGTCCTTTAAAAAAAGGCTCTTTGTCCTTCTATAGATATAAATTGTAGTATGTTAACTGTGATTTGTGCCAACACATACCACATTTTTGTCCTTATCTTTCTATAGAAAAAATTGTAATATGTTAACTGTGATTTGTGCCAGCACACACCACATTTTTGTCCTTGTCCTTTCATAAAAAAAATGGTTTTTTGTGATTTGTGCCGACAAATTTGTCTTTATGTTTCTATAGAAAAAGTTGTAGTCTGTTCATTGTGATCTGTGCAAGCCCACATCAAATTTTTGTCCTTGTCCTTTCATAGAAAAAAAAATTATTTCTTGTGATTTGTGCTAACACAACTTTTTCTTTATTTATTGTGATTTGTGCTTAACCAAGCCAAGTTTTTCTCTTGTCCTTTCATAGAAAAAAATTGCCTCTTGTGATTTGTGCTAACACTTCATGAACTTTGTTAATTCTGATTTGTGCCAGCCACATGATTTTTGTCCTTATCATTCTATAGAAAAAAATTGTTACTCGTGATTTGTGCCAACCCATTTCAGATATTTGTGCCAGCACACACACCACATTTTTGTTATTCTTTTTTATTGTAATTTGTTATACTTGCTTTAAATTTTTTGTGTAGTAAAAATAATAACACATAAAAGAAACTCTGGCCATCACGTGTTAGTCCGTTTTTATCCCTATCTGTTTATAGGTTTTTTAGAATTGAACATTCATGACTGAGCCAGACAACTTTGTCTGTAAACAGGTCCTTAGTGCTTGTTTGCTTTGGTTGTGAGCCTGGGACGAAGGTGCACCTCCACTAAACAAGTCCTTAGCGGATTACTTGTATATTATTACCACGAATTTACAGCGTCATTAGCACCAAACGAGCATCTGGTCTCTTGGCCTACTGGATTGTGCACCTTTGTTCTATCTTTATCATCGACTGGAGGCTTTGGAGCATTATTCCTGCCAGTGGCGAAGCCAGAATAAATGGTCATCGGGGTCAGAGTCGGTAGTCAACTACTCATATAAGTAGCTTATAGGTTGCAACAATATAATACACTAATTGATTATCCGGGCTTCAACAATTTGTCGCATCTTTTCGTAGCCGTTATGAAAACTATTACCCTTGGTACCTACATGGTCTCTAAGCCTATTAGATATTCCAGCCATCTACTACAAATGCATCATTCTCACCTTGTCCCTTATTGCAATCTCTGAACAAGTAACAATATAAACAAAAACACATATCCATGTTTTCACTATACTCTAGGCAATCATATTTAGTGAACTATTCATGTTGAAGTATCTTCATCATTATTCTCATTATCACCTGTTGCGGGTAATTTTCTTTTAAAGAATCTTTCCAACGTGCTTTGATTACCTATGAAATTAGTCACATAATAAAATTTAAAGCAGATAGATACTAAATTACTAATGTGCAAGTAGCCTACTATTAAAAGTCACTAGTGATTAGGGATGAAAACGGATCGGATACGAACGGATATCACTCATATTATATTTGTTTTCATATTTCTGTTCGGATTCGGACACGGATAGCGTTCGGATACATATACGAATACGGATTGACTCGGTTACGGATACGAATAATGAGTATCGAATACGGTATGAATCGGATTCGGAGAAGGTCGGATACAAATATCTATTCAGATATTGAGTAAAAGCAACATATATATATATATATATATATATATATATATATATATATATATATATATATATATATATATATATATATATATATATATCATACGTATTAAAACCATTACACCACTCTATGAGTCCATAATCCATCTAGATTAAGCCGAAAGACTAAAGAGTAAAGCAACAAATAAGATAAAGATACGATACATCATACATCAAACATCATATAAGCACCAATCTTCATGATGAGTAGAAATAGCCAAGCACATTGCTTCATGGGTCTCATGGAGTCATGGTCATGGATTCAAGATCTACAATCCTTATATAGGCCATTTTTTCATTTTGAGAAAGTTTGAACAAAATGTAGTTCAAATTTCACAAGTGTGTGACATAGTTTTAGAAAGTCTGTATGAGATTTAAGAATTTGTGACTAGTGTTTGATAAAACTTTCTTAAATGGGAAAATGAGCTATGTAACAATTGTATATCTTGCTGAGATGATCAAACTTGGTATTCAGAGTTTTTTCATCTGAGGTCATTTAGTGTCTCATTTGAGCAAGTTTGACCAAGTCAAATTTGGTCAAATGAAAAAACAACACTTTGACTCTAGTATTATGAACTCTAAATGACTTCAAATTGAAAAGTTTTGAATACCAAGTTTGTTCAACTCATCAAGATCTACAATTCTTGTTTTGGTCAACTTTCCATTTGAGATAGTTTGGATGGTTCAAATTTGTGATTTTTAAATTTTGAATAAATATCCGGATAATATCCGTTTTTAAATATCCGGATATATCCGATACTTATCCGGATTATCCGATATCCGCCGGATATCGATGATATTACATCCGTATTTGATATCCGCCTAAGATATCTGTTTTAGTATCCGTATCCGAAAAAAAAACGGATATCCGAGTAACTATCCAGATAAGTGTTCATATTTGTTCGGTCGAACGGACGGTCGAATAAATATCCGTACCGTTTTCATCCATACTAGTGATTATTGAAATGCAACTATGCAAGTTATACTAAAGTAGATGGGTACCTGACATTTCGCCGGAACGAAAGACCACGCTCTTTGGTGGAAAGCCTTAAGACCTCATATTTTGGACTAGATTGTTTTAATTAGCAATTGCAGAATAGGGTATTTGGGTACCTGGATAGGCAGCCAGGAGATGGGCAGAGAGTTTATCGCCGCCGGCCACCAGCAAGTCGTCACTGTGATTTGCGCCAAGCGTCTTTGAGACACGAGACAAAGAACGAACGAGCGGCCGCTGGGCGCTGGGCACCGACGCCACTTGCCAAATGCTAGAACAATGGAGATCGAAAGATGAAACAACGACTACTCAGTCTAGGGCTCCAGGCTGTAGCGGATACTGGAGGCAAACGTTTAGCCTTCTGAGCTGCTACATGTACAGTATCTTATTGCAATTTATATTCACGTAATATAATCACGTTCCATGTCTACGAAGCAGAAGATGGGCCGAACTGCTCGGCTGCTAACTCGGGTCCAACATATTTTCTACCGGGTCCAACGCGCTGAAAAATCCCTAGGTATAGCAGGCTACGGCAAAGTCGTCGGTGTCGGCCGACCCCGATGCCTTCACGTAGCTTCGCCCCTGATTCCTACAGCTGGAGGGAGACCGGAGAGGCGGAGACCAAGGGCGCGACGCGCGGCGGACCCTTTCTCCCTCGGCCATAGCCATAGTCGTAGCTAGGAAGGCGAGGCGAGGCGAGGACCATCTCGTTCCCTTGCGCGTCTGGGGCGGGGCGAGAGCTTGGAGCTGAGTTGACCGAGGTGAAGCCGCAGCCGCAGCTCCGTGCTAGCGAGGAAGGGATCTATCAGAATCTTCGTCAGTCCTTGTAGTGGTAAGCCCCAATCAATCCCTTCATTGTCTCATCTAATCTAACCTTGTAGTCGGGCAAAGCAAATGACTTGTTGCTGCAAGCTTATATTACCACAAGTATATATATTATTTCACGCTTCAAAGAGTGCAGGTGCCTCGGCACCTGACAATTGAATGTTACGATGCTGGATGTATATCACAGTATCACACAGAAATACAAGTAGCTAGCATAACATGGATATGGTAGTAATCGATCTCGAGCAGATGCTCGCCGCCGTCTCGAGCCGCAGCTCGCCTGTTCTTCGATTACAACCAAATCGAGTTCATCTTGAGCAAGAAGAAAGCTATAAGTAGAAGACAGCAGATGTGCTTCAACCGTTTGCTAGCAAATGGGCTCAACCTTTGCTAACCCACTCTGGCCCATTGAAGATGACATTGGATTCCTGGGTCCTAAGTCCATTAGACTTCTCTTCTGTTGCCCAAGCCAAATCCCAATTCCTTGATTCTGTCTATCAGCGACAGAACATACATCTGCAGCAATGCAGGTATATGACACTGAATGAAAGAAATTTTTTAGAAAGGCGGCCAAGAGCTTTGCCGATTTTTATTAGACGAGGGAAAAGAAAAAAAACAGCGTTATAAAAGTAACAACTACTCCGTGATGCGACTTCACAACGACTACTACTACTCTTACGGCTCAGCAGGCCGCGGTTAAAACGCAACTTCAAAACCATCTGATTTACATCCAATGGATGAGAATCATTGTCTGATTCAATGCAAAATTTCAGGCACCTGGCATAGCAGCATCAGAACGAACCAGCAGTGGAGGAAAGCCAATCTCCTCCGTCAGAGGTTGGACACAGATTCTTACAAACTAGCCTGTATAAGCTGACCAGCCACACTGTTTTCACACGAACAAACAAAACAATACTAGGTAATTAGTATTGCCTATTTGTTCGATTAATTACCTTGTCTTGCAAATACTAGCAAGTGACCCCTTCAGTTTTTGCCTTGCAAATTAAACAGATGGCATAATTAAGCCGCTGGCAGTTGGGTGCATCTGACATCACCAAACCTCTGTCTTAATTACTTCCCTTCCTGTAAGTCCCTGCCTCGTATTGTACTCCTATGTAAGCTAAGATTGACCTGCAAGTTTCACATTCTCCAAATGATTGTTAGGGATTATTGATTTCTCTAATGCTCAAAGGGTCCGTTATATTATTTTTGTCCAGGATGAGCCTATCCAAGGCTATTGGAGTCATTAGTGGCATCAATGAGTTTGGTAACTTGTTCCAGTTGGTCACATCTGCTGTCTCATATATGCGTTCCAAGTGGAATGGATCACAGGAGAAACAACAACTTAAGCAAGAAGATCTACTGCAGTTGCAAAGTGACCTTCAACGCCTTACTGATACTCTACCGGCAATGTACAACCTCATTGATCGAGCAGAGTGGAGGATCCATGTACCCTCTGTGGCACAGCTCCTTCCAAAACTCAAGGATGCAGTGTATGATGCAGAGGACCTTCTGGATGAGTTCAGATGGTATAAGCTCAAGCTGGAAATTAAGGGTAATAACGATGAATCCCAAATGTCTCCTCTCATTGACTTCTTTCACAGTGTCACTCATGGAAGCTTCAACAAAGCGACTGATATACAGACCAGGTTAGGTCATATTTCTGCCCAGCTTGAGAAGATGGGCATGCATGAGGCAACTCCACGGTTTGACAAATCGGTCAGGCCACCGACCACATCTTTCCGCACTGAGCCAAACATACTTGGTCGAGACAAGGAACTGAAGGAGGTGATGAGATTGCTTGGTGTACCAGCACCAGACCATGGTAGCAGTAGCAGGTGCAGGTCTACTTCCAAACGGAAGAGAACTGCTTCTAGTGCAGCCGATAGTACTGAACCAATAAGGATACCATCTGTTCCTGTTTTGCCAATAGTTGGAATCGGGGGTGTTGGAAAAACTACTTTGGCCCAAGAAATTACTACACTTCCAAGTGTTAATTCCCACTTTGACAATATCATTTGGATTTGTGTCTCGGATGACTTCGATGAGGAGAGGTTTACTAAAGTTCTCATAAAATCTCTATCTAGAAAAGAGGCAACGGCCGATAATTTAGACGATCTTCAACAAGTTCTTGCTGAAGAAGCTGGGAAAAAAAGGTTCTTGCTCATCCTTGATGACATTTGGCCTGCTGCCTTGAATGATGGGCAGTGTTGGAGGAAATTTTGTGCACCTCTCACAAAAGTACTTAAGGGAAGTATGTTGCTGGTGACCACTAGGTTTGCAGAGGTTGCTGATATAGTGGGCACGATGGAGTCCTATGTATTGGAAGGCTTGAAAGAAGATGTATTTTGGGATTTTTTCAAACTATGTGTGTTTGGGTCTGAGGATTCTCACATTGATCCACAGTTAGAGCAGATTGGTAAGAGCATACTTGTAAAGCTCAAGGGTACTCCTTTAGCCGCCAAAACTATTGGAAGGCTTTTACGAAAGAGCCTTACCTCTGCACATTGGAATGATATACTAAACAACGAACTGTGGCAAATTGAACAAAAGGAAACCGACATTTTGCCAGCTCTTCGGTTGAGCTACATGTATCTACCTTTCCATTTGAAGAGATGCTTCTCATTTTGTGCTGTATACCCCAAAGATTACAATTTTAAGAAGGATATTCTAGCTGAAATTTGGGTGGCAGAAGGATTTGTGGAACCTCAAGGTAGCATTCCACTTCAACATATCGGTGAGCAGTACTTTGAAGACCTTGTAAATCTGTCCTTCTTCCTTAAACACCGTGGTAAATATGTAATACATGACTTGATGCATGACATGGCGCTTCTAGTGTCCAAGGACGAATGCTTCATTGTAAAGAATACAAGTGGGATAAAAGAAGTTCCTCCAAACGTTCGCCACCTATCAATACTATCAAGCAGTGGTGTTAACTGTTCTGACTTAATGAGCCTATGCAAGCACACAAAGCTGCGCACCCTGCTTTGCAACAAGTATGTCTGGAGTGAGCCTTTATCTTTGATGGTTAGCTGGTTTCATGAACTTGGATGCCTGCGTGTTTTCTGTTGTGCCTTCAAACTGAGACAATTACCAGAGAGGATAGGCAATCTGAAACATCTCCGGTACCTTGAAATCTCCGGAAAATACCATTTCAATGAAGTTCCTTCATCATTCTGGAGCCTCTATAACTTGCAGATTTTGTATGCCAGGAAATGCACATTTCAAAGATTGCCCGACATAGGTGCCAGTAAGCTGATCAATCTGCAAAAGTTTGAATCACGTATTCTTCAAATGGAAGTCGATGCTGTGAAGTTGGGAGAGCAAATTGGGTTCATAAACAATTTTCCAGATATAAAATATTTGGTTTTATATAATCTAGGCGCAATAAGCAAGGATCATGCAGCAAAGCTGGAACTTAGGAAGAGGAAAGATCTTACTGGTTTGACTCTGAGTTGGTTTTCGTTCATATCTCGAAAGTTCAATGAGATAGAAGTGCTTGCAGAGCACAATGAGATAGAAGTGATTCCATTTCACAATGTGATAGAAGTGCTTCAAGCCCTACAACCTCCAACCAATGTGAAATCTGTGCGCATCCAGGGTTATCCAGGTGAATATTTTCCAACCTGGTTTTCTGGTTCTGATGGACTCAATGCCATGCCATTTTCTGGTACAATTTTGTCATCAGTAACAGAACTGAGCATTGAAGGGTGTCAGAACCTAAGTGATTGCAGATTGGACGTACCTGCCATCAGAAAAATAGAGATTGCACATTGCAGAAATGTAAAATCAGTACGAATTGAACACATGGAAGATTCAACTTTTTCCCTTCAAGAACTGAAGGTGTACAATTGTCCAAACATCACATATCTGTTGGCCCCGTCCATAAGAAAACTCGAACTGAAGAATTATGGGAGCCTCGGAGATAGCAATGATTGTAGTTCCCTCACCATCTTGTCATCATCATTAACAGAACTGAGCATTGAAGGGTGTCAGAACCTAAGTGATTGCAGATTGGACGTACCTGCCATCAGAAAAATAGAGATCGCGCATTGCAGAAATGTAAAATCAGTACGAATGGAACTCTTGGAAGATTCAACTTTTTCCCTTCAAGAACTGAAGGTGTACAATTGTCCAAACATCACATATCTGTTGGCCCCGTCCATAAGAAAACTCGAACTGGAGAATTCTGGCAACCTAGACAGCATCGATTGCAGTTCCCTTACCATCTTGCATCTATCATGTGACCATCTGACATCCATGGACCTACAAAAATGGAGCCTTCCATTGCTACAGGAGCTCAAGATCAGTGGCTGTCCATGTCTGATATCTATTAGAGACTCTGAACAGGTACCCACTGACCTTTCCCTTGGCTGGGCCAGACGACGCAGCACTGGGAAATTCCCGTTCCTCACTCACCTAACTATCGATTTTTGCCAGAAGCTGGAAAGTCTTGATGGCTTCCTAACACATGAATATCTCCCTGCCATCAAAGATCTGACCATTTGGTATTGTCCACGTCTCAACTGGCAAAGTGGAATGATGTTGCCGTCCTCCATCCAAAGGCTCCAGTTAATTAATTCTGGGAATATCTCTTGCAGCTGCCTGGTGAGCCACACATCGACATCCCTGCAAGAACTAAGTGGCTAAATTGGAGTGGAGTATTTACCTCGGTCACTCAATTCTTGTTTTCTTCAAATCAAACTAGCTATCTTATGTTTGATCAGGTTTATAGAACATGAGTATTTGCATTTATGAATCCAAATAAGTTTACTGAAAGTAAATTCTTCCATATAGCTACACTGTACTGTGGTTTGTAAATTAAAAACAAAATGAAGAGAGATTGTTTCTGCATACTGCAAAGGTACGTTCCTATACACCGTACGTACGCATGCATAGTTCATGGTACATTACATGTATGTATGTATGTATGTATGTATGTATGTATGGAAAGCTGGATCGATCGAGTTAAAAGTTGCATTGCTAGCTGCTTCATGCGGAGGCGACGGATGGATCAGTCGTCGATCGATCTTGATGAAGTCGATCGTACTTGCCTTCCTGGCCTTTCTTGCCGCTGCCGGCCTGCAGCGCCGTGTAGTGCCGGCGTCGTCTTCAGCTAGCGTTCCTCTACGCGTCGCCGTCGGCCTTGGTGGGGCTGCCGCCGGCGGTGGGGAGCCCCGCCGCCGCCGTGCTCGTGCTTGGAGCTGGTGGGGTGCTTCTTCTTGGCGCCGGCGCGCCAGTTCTTGAGGGCCTTGGAGGTCTGCTCGTCGAAGATGGACTGCTTCATGGTGGAGCCCATCTGGGAGACGGGCGCGTACAGCGGGAGCGTCACGTAGCTGCACAGCACCTGGACCACCACCCTGCATGCATAGAGATCATCGTTCGTAATGTATGTTGTTGTTTATATTCTTGCACTACATCTGCATCTGCATTCATGTCAGATCGATAAGTTCACGAACGAAGGGTACGTACCCAAGGCAGAGGCGTGCAAAGAAGAATTATTTGGAGTCGTTGAAGCACGAGTCCATCGCGTACTCATACCGCATTCAGGTTCAAACAGACAACATCTGAATGAGGCAGAATTGTATGCATGTTGTTAATTGAAATTCTAGGTGGGTACCACGGTCAAACAGAGAGAGATATGCCCCTAATTCTTTAGTAAAATAATAGATTAAATCTAACCTCAAATTTTAAAAGTTGAAAACATATTTAACAGTAGTATGAACATGTAGATTACTCAATTACGAACCTAACGCAACTTGAACGGATCAAATCGGAGTTAAAACAGAGATGATATGAGCAAAACAAAATCAGTGGCGATTTTGTAATTATTTTGAACTCATTTTTAGTTTTAAAATAAAAGAAAATAAATTAAAACTTCTCTGTGGACTTGGTGTCGTTTTTAAGAAAACACAGGGGTCAAAACATAAAAATTAGGGGCATTGATTGAATTATTTTGAACTGCGCTGGACGACGGGTTGATTACGCGAAACCGCAGGGGGCTAAGCGCAAAAGTGCGGCGGTGGGTCGGTGGCAACCAGGTCAGCGGCGACGTGGCGTAAACTGGTTGGGTGGAGGCTGTGAACCAGCTATGGACCGAGAGGAAACTGTGCTGGTGGACCTAGTCTACTACTGTTGCGGTGGACCGATTAAGGTGCGAAGGGGTATGTTCTAATCCTGATCGTTCCACCCAGATCGGACGGCTACCAAGGGTTCGGAGGATTCCTCCGGCCGACACAGTGTCTCCGCCGCGGTGGCTTCCATGGCTGGCGTCGCAGAGCTCATCGGCGAGCGCAAAAACGGTCCTAGAGATCACGGGAAAGCAATCCGGTAACACGGGGAGAACGAGGACGGAGAGGCGAACTCACCTAGGTAGTTTTCGCAGTCGGAGACGGCACGGAGGCGACACGAGATGCGGCAAAGCGGACGGCGAGCACGGCGGCGCAGCGATTCGGCGAGGTGGCTGCAATTCCGAGGCTTGGGATGAGGAGGCACGGCCGCGGGCAGCTGCTATTTATGGCCCTGAGATGCTTGGGAGGCATGGCAACATTGAGGCGTAGGCGGAGCGGACTTCTATGGCGCGGTGGAGTCTGGCGCAACGACGAGCGCGAGGTAAGGGAAGCGACTGACAGCTGGGCCCACCGGTCGGCGACCGAGAGAGAGGGAAAGGAGCGGCGCAGTGCTGGGCCGGCCTGGTGTGGGCCGCCGGGGAAAGAAATAGGCCGCGGGGAATGAGGGGGAGCGGAGCAGGCATGAGGGAAAGAAGGCCAGGCCGGCTGGGCCGAATGGAGGGAGATGAGAGGGAAATGGTTTTTCTTTTTGTTCTTTTTTTTTGTTTTCAAAACCAAATTCAATTATAAACCAAATCAAATTCAAATAGAGTTTCAAATATACTTTTCACTCAAATAAAAATGAGAAATTTTGATAAGTTTTCTAAAAATAAATTTTACAACTTTTAAATTATTTTATTTTCAATTTTTTTTTCTTTTATTTCAAAGCCAATTTCAAAAGCATTTTGAATTCATTTTGCATTTTGGATTCAACCACTCATTGCAATGAATTAAATGCACCGGCGTGTATGCACATCCATGTTGCTACTCTTTATAATGAATTTTATTAAAATAAAAAATAATCTTTTTCCTATATTTCATGTGCACAAAAATTCATAAATAACTTATTTTAATTCTATTTTCAAAATTAAAACTTTTAGGGTGTTACATGCCGCCGCCGTGCTCGTGCTTGGAGCTGGTGGGGTGCTTCTTCTTGGCGCCGGCGGGCCAGTTCTTGAGGGCCTTGGAGGTCTGCTCGTCGTAGATGGACTGCTTCATGGTGGAGCCCATCAGGGAGACGAGCGCGTACAGCGGGAGCGTCACGTAGCTGCACAGCACCTGGACCACCACCCTGCATGCATAGAGATCATCGTTCGTAATGTATGTTGTTGTTTATATTCTTGCACTACATCTGCATCTGCATTCATGTCAGATCGATCAGTTCACGAAAGAAGGGTACGTACCCAAGGCAGAGGCGTGCAAAGAAGAATTCTATGGAGTCGTTGAAGCACGAGTCCATCGCGTACTCATACCGCATTCAGGTTCAAACAGACAACATCTGAATGAGGCAGAATTGTATGCATGTTGTTAATTGAAATTCTAGGTGGGTACCACGGTCAAACAGAGAGAGATATGTACCAGAATCCAGAGGAAGTAGATGATCCGGAAGCCATTCTGCAGAGACAGAGAGCATGCATATGCAGAGCAAGGACAGACAGACAATCTAGTTCAGTTCAGATTCAGACTTGAGAGTTGAGACTGACTGAGCACATTGCAAATTGGTTGCAAAGGCGAATAAAGCATGCATGCAATGGAATGGAGAGACACAAGATAACATATATATAAATGTTGATTGACAGTTTAATATATATACAAATTCTATCAGCAGAACAACCCAAGATACAGGAGTATGTAATGTACCATTGGAGAACTCAGTCTTGGCCTGCAGCTTCTTTCTCCCACTCTTTCCATGCACGTATCTGCATGCTTCAAAGACGTACATATCATCATTAATTCATCATTACCTTCTTCATTCCACTGCAAACACACCTACATTAGTAGTAGTAAATAAAGGAAACTGATTGAAATCGACCTTGGCCCTGTTGACCTACGGGATCACCGGCTGACGAGAGTGAACCAGATAGCCTCCAGACCACTAGCCTCACACCCCTGGCCTCCAGACCACTAGCCTCCCACCACTAGTTTCAGACCCCTGGCCTTCAGACCACTAGCCGTGCCGACCACCGTACCGGTATTGTCCGTACCCACACATTACGGATCGAGCTAGAAGAAGGGAGAACAGAGCAAGCACGCATAATACAAGACAACAACGTTGGCCGAGGCCCTGTCTGTGTGATGGCAAATCTGAGCTCTCTTTACTGAGTTGCCTTGGTACCCTATTTATACAACTCTATCTATCTAACCAAAGTACAGCGCACATGTTGTAACAGTAACTAGATAAGCATACAGGGCTGACTCTGCGCCGGCCACTGCATGTGCCTACAGTGCTGCAGGTGAGCCGTGCGGCGCCTACACCTGCAGCGGCTACAGTATCACAGCAGGGGGCAAAGTCGGCGCCGCCTTCCTCTGTTGTGTTCACACAAGGTGGCAGTAGATTAGCTAACAATCTTCCCCTAATCCTACTGCTAACCCTTGCACCCCCTCCATGCCGATCCTCTCCTTCAGCTCCGTGAGTCGAAGTCGTCCGAGCGGCTTGGTGAGGACGTCCGCGAGTTGCCGACCAGTTTCGACAAACTCGATGACGATCTGTCCTCCATCAACACAGTCGCTGAGGAAGTGGAACTTCACGTCGATGTGTTTACTCCGGTCGTGCAGAACCGGATTCTTCGTGAGGGCGATGGCGGGCTGGTTGTCCACCATCTTCGCGAGGCCTGTTCGCTGATTGGTGTTGGTACTGGTTTGGGCTGGCTGATGTTGGTTTTTTTTAGAGAAAAACACTATTGACTGGCTAGTTTGGGCTGGCTGAAACCAACGAGCGGCTTTGCCTGCAGCTTCTTTCTCCCACTCTTTCCATGCACGTATCTGCATGCTTCAAAGACGTACACATCATCATTAATTCATTATTAGCTTCTTCATTCCACTGCAAACACACCTACATTAGTAGTAGTAGTAAATAAAGGAAACTGATTGAAATCGACCTTGGCCCTGCCGAGCGCCATGGTGATGGTGCTGGGGCGTTGATGGAGATGGGCGACACCTTCCCCTCGGGGCACTTTGTCTTCATGCTCGCCTCCGCCAGCATCTTGGCGTTGTGGGCGTAGTAGGGCGGCGGCGGCCTTCTTCTTGCCAGGAACGGCGGCGGCCTCCTTGCCGTGTTCCTTATTGCCCCCGGCGGCGGCGCCCTCCGCGGGCTCCTTGCCGTGGCCCCCGGCGGCATTACTCTCCATTGTCGCCATTACTCTTCGTCATCGTGATGGAGGTTCAGCTAATCGCCGAAGCCGACCGTCGCGGCATCCTCTCCCCTTTGCCGGGGAATGTGATCAAATACAGGGTGTCGGTTTACGTGGACGACCTTGTCGTCTTCCTGTCTCCCTCAGCCTCCGCCTTCAGCTGCATCCGTCAAATCCTCGGGGTCGGGGC